GTTCAACGTGACTCAGCGAGGGTTCAACGTGACTCAACGTGACTCAGCGAGGCTTTCCACTCCCGACAGAGATCAAAGTAGTAACTCCAAACGTCGAGGGTTCAACGTGACTCAGCGAGGGTCCGACACCCCGTGTCCTTGTGTGTTGTTCTGGGACCCCATGTTGTCCATTTGTGTTGTCGGCCGTTAACGCGGTGGCTGAATCGGTGCGCCGCGCGGGTGCGTATGCATTTGCATCAGAGCCTCCCCAGATGGGGCCTAAGACCCCTGGGGTACTGGTGGTTTAAACCGCCAGTACCTCGCCCAGGCAGACTTAGAATAAAAAATGCATCATTCTGCATTCTTTGGATGAACAGTGCAAACGGATCAAAATGGCTGGTGGTGCCAGCCAAAACAAGAATGGAAGTGTCTTTGTCGCGGTTCGTTTTTTTTTGGCGTGGTGGCGTGGGTGGTTTTACATGTTCAAGACACCTGGGGCCTTAGTGCTCGATAGTTCTGCGCTGCGAAGGAAGGCATCTCTGTAAATTCGTCCCTAAACTCTACCATGGGGGGAACCATGTCTTTGTTGGTGTGACGCTTGATCAGTGAGGGTTAGTAGCACACACCTAACTGTGGACATCTGTATGTCCCCAACACCCCCCTGAGGGTTTTACACTTTGACTTACTTCTTCCTTGTGTGATGCAATGTTGTTCAACGTATGTTTCTTCAAGCTGCAGTGCCGCCTGTATAGCATAATGTACTTCGGCATGCGTCTTTGTGTAGGTGTTTATTTTTGTGAGCCATTGTGTCCATAGCGCACGTGGCCAAATGGCCTACTGCCCCTAAGCATTGCTCCATCCGTTTCATCCATTCCATCTGACCATCCTTATGGAGGTTTAGGGTTGGGTCACAGCGACACACACACACACACACACACACACACACACACACACATGTCGCTCACACCCAGTGGTGCACACACACACACACACACACACACACACACACACACACATAGACACACACACACACACACACACATGCTCCCACCCAGTGGTGCAGATGCAACACACCCGCACGCACACACACACACATCCACACACACACTTGGTCCCACTGCCATTCCATACCAAGAAGACACACATCACCAACCGGGAAGCCCACATGGTCCCACTCTGTTCGCCCCCATCACTTAGCAGGCCAACGTGTTTTTTGTTCTTTTTTTCTTACCAGACCGACAAAAGAAAAAGTACCTGTTCCTCCACCCAGTTCGATAACCACTGCATCGCTGAATGCATTCTGTTTCGGAGAGGTGTCGATGCAGTGAAGGATGTAATCTGCCAGAGCGATTGTACCCCGCCAAACCTGGCCACACACCCACCATGTGCTCAAACGGTCAACAATCGTCAGCCAATGTGGTCAACAGTCAACAAGGAGTCAAACTATGTCACGTCAACCAATGCACTTAATGGCTAGTTAATGTCTCTCTGAAGTTGAATCTCGTTTTTGAGTACAGTAGAGGCAGAAAGTAGGTCCATGCGGGACTCCTCTTGGTTGGGACCTGGTCACGGCCTACGTGGGACCCATGGGTACCCAGTGGGACCAGGCCCAAGCAAGAAGGGCCCCTTAGGCCCAAATCTGTTGACGTCATTCATATTCTCTTTCTGGCTGGAACTCGGAGTTTGTACTATCGCTTAGAGCACTCGCTGCCGAGGGGATCTTCCCTGCGAAAGGCATTCCACGATGCAGACCCCACATTCGAATTTCAGGGTCAAGGTCTCAGACCAAGGGAGGCCAAGTTGGCCAGTTCAGGAAGGTCACAGTCGGGTACCTTAGGAGTCAAGTGCAACAGGCACCTGGTGTACAGTCACATCCCAGAGGCAAAGGTTGCATTCTATAAGCAAAAGTCACGTCTCATATTGAAAAGTCATATTCCACAAGCAAAGGACACTTCTCCAAGCAAAAGTTGTGTCCCAGAGGCAAGAGTCACATCCCACAGTCAAAAGTCATGTTCCACAGATGAAAAGTCGTGACTCCCAGACCCAAGCAGCAGCACACCAATGAAAATTCGGGAAAGTACCAGGCCTCGACATTCTGAAACAAACCGGCCGCAGGCATGTGGTACTGGGCGGGTCCAAGTCAAGCCAAAGAAGCAGAGGCTGGGACGAGTTGAGGCTCAGTCCAAGTCAATATAAGGACTGGCCAGCCACATTTCGAGTGAGGAGGTTCATTCGTGAGAAGTGTGGAAGTGCTGTTAAAGTGCTTGTGTGCTATCTGCAAGTAGCATGCGTGAGAGCCCTGCTGGGCAGCGCTGTTCTGAGAGCGAAGGTGGCCATAACCGCATAGCTAGTAGTAGGAGATAGAGCTGAATAGTAGCGGATGTATTCGGAGTCAAGATTCTCAAGTAGAGAGAGAGAGAGAGAGAGAGAGAGAGAGAGAGAGAGAGAGAGAGAGAGAGAGAGAGAGAGAGAGAGAGAGAGAGAGAGAGAGAATGCACTACCTTAGATTAGGATGCTGGTATGGGGTTGCTGAACTCTGCGCTGTTGAAGCGCTGTCTCTTATACACATCTAGATGTGTATAAGAGACAGACCTTAGATTAGGATGCTGGTATGGGGTTGCTGAACTCTGCGCTGTTGAAGCGCTTGGTGACAGGATCTCCGAAACTGTTTAATGTGATAATATCATATTAATATGATAATTCGTTGGAATTTCTAAGCTGTGCATATCTGGACTTCGCATCTCTGGAATCCAGTGTGGAATTCGTGTGATCTCTCAATGTGTGTGTGCTCTCAAGCTGTCGAGCAGTGAGGCTCAAAGCACCTGAATTTTTTCTTTGACTACGTTTCCGTCATTACTGCCGTAACTAGACTAAAAATTGCTCCAAATACAGCCATAATGACCGGGCATTCTATTTGGGTGAAGCCAGTAGGCTTTACCGTTCTTCTTCTTTTCTCTATCATAAAAAAAATTGTCTGCGCCATCTAGGGATCCACCTTGCTGGGGAATCTTGGAGGAGTGTAGCATTGCACCCCTCCAATAGTCCCTCACCTGGCGGACCATTTCTCGATGTATGTGTGTCATCATTGCGCAGGGGCCATGCTAATCTACCCTTCTCTGTATCGTTCCAATTTTAACGGATGCCCAGAAGGACAGTCCCTCACCTGACTGACATTTGAATTTTACACATTTTAGTACGACTTTACTACCGTCTTCGCCCGAATAGAACGCCCGGTCCTTATAGCTGTATGTGGTGCAATTTTCAGTCTGCATACAGCGATAATGACCGGGCGTTCTATTCGGGTGAAAACAGTAGTATGGTTTTAGCATTTCTGCAAACAGCAGAAGCACAACATGAGCTTGAACAGTACACACATGCAACTGTCAGTAAACAGATCATGAGTTCAAATCCTGATGAAATCAGAGTTATCAGATGCATACAATGACGACAGGGGCCACCCTCTTTTATCAGGCTTAAAAAAAAAGAAGAAAAGAAGCTCCACAACAGAAAGTGCTGGGGCTCTAAGGACAGGCTACCAGTGAGTAAGGGTAACGCAGACAAAGTGCGCTATGGCCGTAAAGGCATGCGACAGAATACAGGCGAAAGTCACAGATAGCGAAATGTAAAGCAGGCGAAATACACATACATCGAAAGTGAAGAGAAGGAGGGAAAAAAAGAAAGATAGAAAACACACAAAGCCATCGAGACAAAGGAGGTCTGCAGGAAACAGGTACTCGAATGTTATTGAAAAAAGCAGGCACTAGAATGTTATCAAATGAGAATAATAATCGGTGCCATACTGGCGGTGTCCCTACACTTCAACCGCACGCCAGAGACAGTATCATCAGGGGACCTAATCGGTGCCATGCTGGCGGTGTCCGTACCAGATCCAAATTTCCCAGCACCTAGGCTACCAGCCGGGCCGCCCGGGGCACCCTGTTTTCCTGGGCGGTCTGGCCGTGCAAGGACCAGGGAAGGTCCCAGCAAAAAAAAAAAAAAAAAAAACCGAAAAAAAACTATGTTATGCTGCTAAGTTATGCAGAAAAAATAAACTGAACAACATTTGCCTCAGGGTCACATCGAAATTCTTTAGCAAATTTATAATAATAAGAATAATAAGAATAATAAGAATATTTTTTTTGGCCCGGCTGGCCAAGTGGTCCCAGGCCACTCTGGTAGTCTAGCCCAGCACACAAAACCTTGCATGGTCCCGCTGCTTCCAATGACATGCAGAGCAACACCCAAAATGTTAAGGCTGCATTGCTGGGCCAAGAGGTTGGCAGTGTAGTCTATCCATATTGTGTTTTTTTTGTCGACAGACTCGACACTGAAAAATCATGGGTTGTTGAAAGTCTTGAGGAGGAGGAGACGAAGGAGACTAAGGAGGGGAGGAGGGGAAGGAGGAGGAGGACGACGACGAAAGAAGAATGGAAGGGAAGGAGAACAAAAGAAGGGACGAGGAAAGAAAACGGGACCGGGAGTAGGGAGGGACTGAGGAGGAGGAGGAAGGGAAGGAGAAGTGTAGCCTATCCATGCTGTCTTTTCTTTAGTTGGCACTGAATAGCGAGCGATAGGATGTCGAAAGTGTCCAGGAGGAGGAGGCGAGGAGGAGGAGGATGACAGGGAGGAGAGGGGGAGGAGGAGGAGGAAGAGGAGAAAGAAGAGGAGGAGGAGGGGAAGGAGGAGGAGGAGGAGGAAAGAAGAAGGGAAGGAAAGGAGGAGGAAAGGAGGGAGGAGGAGGAGGAGGAGAGAAGAGGGGACTGTGAGGAGGAGGGGAAGGAGGAGGATGAGGAGAAAAGAAGAAGGGAAGGAGAGGAGGAGGAAAGGAGGGAGAAGGAGGAGGAGGAAAGAAGAGGGGACTGTGAGGAGGGAGGGAAGGAGAAGAAGGTCAGCATAGCACACACCTGCATCCCAACCCCAGCAATTGGTGTCTCCATTGAATGGTGGATGATGATGACGTCATCATTTTGGTGTGATCCTGCAGGAGAACTAAGGTGCAGTGAGCTTCCAGAACTTTTGACAAGCTATAAACAACAAGGCAAGAACAGCTCAAATCACCAACTGCAATCAACTCACTCAAATCACTTGTGAAGCGCGAACTTACATTAGAGTAGAGAATAGAGATTAACCTAACTCCACTTCTCAAGTAATATCATTCTCCAGTAGTATAGATTCCACACCCCCCCTTCCCCCCCTCCCCCCAAAGGGGGATAGGGCGGCGCCACACTCTGCTGCAGTGCAATACAGAGGAAATGCTGGAGTGGTCGAATAAGCCAGCTTAACATCATTGTGGCGCGATGGACCACCACGGATCAGATATTAAACTGATCAGATAACAGATACTACACTTGATCTATTTTTAGCCAAAAGGCCAAGAAAGTTATTCCACTAGTATAGATAGTTTCACCTGCACGGAGACACCAACAACCGGCAACCGCCTCAAGAACAACATGCAAGTCTCTCTCTCTCTCTCTCTCTCTCTCTCTCTCTCTCTCTCTCTCTCT